GTTCTATCTTTTGTAAACCGCTTCGAGACCATTTTTTAAACAATCAAGCAGTGTTAATACCACAGTCTTCTTCAGTAACAGAAGAATAGCTTTACTGAGTTATAACTTGTTTGCAAGTAAACAGCATCGTGAACAGAAGATTTAAACTAGCTTCAGAGCATACACAGAGTACAGGCTGCACTGAGCACAGGCTCTATGCCTAAGTCAGGCTCCACACACACACTGACTCCACCCCACTCAGGCCCCACTGAGTCTTCCTGCAAGCCGATACAAACATTTATACAGAGAATGAGTTACAGTGATTCTGCATGCTGAGTGATTCTGCAGCTTTTCAGCATTTCACAACATTTCTAGACTACTTTACTGCTTCCTTTTACTGCTTCTGCTCTCAAATACCTTTGTCTCATGACAAATACAAGAAGCTAAAGGATCCCTGACAGTTAAGTCTAGTCACAAACGACTCTGGGGTTGCCGGCCTCATCTCGTTTTACTGGCCGAGGGAGATGGCGTTTGTCCGCAGACAGTTTTTCTGGGTTATGTGGTCAGCATGACTAAGCCGCTTCTAGCGAAACCAGAGTGGCGCATGGAAACGTTGTTTGCCTTCCCGCCACAGTGGTACCTATTTATCTACTTGCACTGGCGTGCTTTTGAACTGCTAGGTTGGCAGGAGACTTCCCCCCGCCACTTCCTTGTGAGCAAACACCAATGAACTTTTCAAAGTGGACTGAATCTCAAATCATGTGTTTTGCTACCAGCAAGCTTGGCTCCTCTCCTCAGTTCATTTGAGGACAAGAACATTATCCCAACTTTCCTCATGCTTTGTAGAATATTACAGGGAGGATGCTTCCCAACAAACTTTCATCCGGAGTAGAAATTTTGCAACAGTGAGAAGTTCCAACACCTTTATTTGGGGGTGAGTGAGGAGGAAAATAAAGGGGGGGTGTTTTGATTAGTGGAAACCTATGCTTAGGATCAGGAACTCTAGACAAAAACAAAGCAAACTATCCTGAAAATTGTGGAATTAGTTGAAGCAGGAATGAGCGAAAGGCCTACCAATTACATCATGGCACTGTAGCTCTGTCTCAATAAAAGAACGAGGAGTCAGAAATCCCTATGAGAACATCTTGGGAGAAATCACTGCCTGCAAACTGTCCGACACTAGTTTAGGTATTTGCTGGTAGATACATTTATGATAAATGGATGAGTTGGGAGTTTTTAACTAAATATGCAAATTATGTTTATCAGATTGCAAGAGAAGCATTGAAGATCTGCATGTGGGGAGGAATATGCAGTAAGGACAGGGGGGTAGGTTTAGAATAACACCTGAATTGTAAGCCCGTTGGAGTCTTTGTGTTACATAAATAACCTTCCCATTACTGCTTTGTTTTCCATATTTAGCATCGTGATTAATAATACATACTTTATTATGCTCTTTAAAAATTCATTGTAAATATCCTCACTAAAAGCAATGTCAGGGCTCTAACGTATGATTAATATACATTTTTTAAATCCATATATTAAATATTCACCAAACAGAAAAGTTGAAAGTAGCTCATTTATTTTTAACGCAAAATTCGAACCACACTGAACTTTTTTTGCATTATAACTTGATGAGTAATTTTACATTTGCTCAAGCCTATAGCCAAACTTGGGTTTTTTCCCCCCTACAGCCTTAAGAGGATGACAAATATAAGAGGCAGCATTCCTAATGAGCAGTGGGAAATGAAATACCTTGAGCATAATGCTAACAATTAATTTTCGACATTTGTGCTGGACGGGCCATTCTCACAAAGTTTCAGGCAAATAATTTCTGTGAAGGTTTCCGGTTTGCTAGCTTGCTCAAAGTTTCTCAATCTTGCTACTGTAATTGTTCTGAAGAGGCGGATGGCATTAGCAGTAGAGGAATGGGTGTTTTCCATAAGGAACAGAAAGATAAACAATATATATAGTATGTTACATCTTTAATATTTGTTTTCACTGGGATTTTAATGAATGCAAGAAACAGAGGGTCTGTCACCATGGCTAAAGAGGCGAGTGGCTGCATTAAATCCAGTCTTCTATAACTGGACAGTGGGGGGGGGTGTATTTTGGACTGGAAGTCCCTCACGGGTTCTGGTCCAACCCTACAATTTTATGGGGACCCCCTTGATGGTTAAGTCCAGTCAAAGGGGACTATGGGGTTGCGGCGCTAATCTCACTTTCAGGCTGAGGGAGCTGGCGTTTGTCCACAGACAGCTTTCCGGGTCATGTGGCCAGCATGACTAAACCACTTCTGGTGCAACGGGACACTGTGATGGAAATCAGAGTGCATGGAAACGCCGTTTACCTTCCCGCCACGGTGGTACCTATTTATCTACTTGCACTGGCGTGCTTTCAAGCTGCTAGGTTGGCAGGAGCTGGGACAGAGGAACAGCAGCACACTCCATCACAGGGATTCAAGCCTCTGACCTTCTGAATAGCAAGCCCAAGAGGCTCAGTGGTTTAGACCACAGTGCCACCCACATCCCTCTCCTACAATTTAATGATTCTATGAATATTACCCCATTACCATTTTCTTAACATTTACTGTAAATTGGTGACATCTATTGTACTGGATGGTCCTATGATTAGGTTAAAAATTAAGCTCTTATATTTTGAGAATATCCACAATGTATGTCTTTAAACGCACTCTCCTCGCTCTTGCCATGCTTTGTTAGCCTACGGATCTTTTCTTAAATCCACGTCCCACCTCATTATGCCCTCCACACTCAATACTTAAAAAGCATAAATCTTGTTACATAAAAACAATGTCTCTTTGTTGAAACAGAACATTTCTCTCAGTTGCTTTTTACGTTAAATGTTCCTGAAATACAAGAATCCTATGTGGAACCTGCCTATCTTATTCCCCCCCCCAACTTTCTGGCTTCAAGCACCCAGAAAGCCAGGGGCAGCCTATGAAGACTTCTGGGTACAGAATTCCTTAGCATGTGGCCAATAAAAAATTATTGGAAGGAAGTTGCCTGGAGAGGTTTTTCATTAAGAAGTGGGACAGACATAAAAAATAATAATCAATAAATAGGTGTGTTTGCACACCCTGAAACACATTTATATGTTTAGTAATTCTCACACCACACACAGAAAGCCGACTGTAGAAATGGGTGGTTGAGGGAAGCAAAGAGATAATGGTAAATAATGGGGTTTTTTGTGTATTTATTTGGTTGTAAATTGCTTTGAGTTGCCCTGGGCAAAATAAAGCGACTGACTGAATGACTGACTAAATAAATAAATTAACTTTTTTTTTTTTTTAAAAAAAGTGTGTTTCTAAATGACTTTGCTAGAGACAATGGGAGACACGATTGTGACAACACATATACACGAATATCCTCTTTCTCCCTTTTGTTACTGTTATTCTACCTTGATGAAAGACATACTTTATGAATCATCTCTTTATTGACACAACATTCTGTGGGATTAAAAGCTAGATTTGCCTACGGGTTAATAGATTGCATTATAATGCATAATTTAATCATCACTAACAAGGTTGTTTGAATCTGTGAAAAGTAGGCCATCATGAAATTTATGAACCCACGTCAATTACATTTATTTTTTCAAATCACTTTTTAGATTAGACATCAGGTGATCCATTCTTTAATAAAATATTTCATTCATTTTTTTTAATTTTTAATTTTAAAAAAATTAAAAATTGCTTTCCTTGCATGAAGAGCAGGATTCCACAGATTAAATATATACAACCACTGTGGACTTAACTAGACACAACTGTATAGAGGACAGAAGCACAAGAGCAAACAGCTTTTTGACAAATATTGACACACATAACTGAAAACAGCCACCCTGGTTTAAAATTATTGCATGAGCCTCCAATAAAATTAAAACAAAATCAAAACTAAGTAGAAATCAACAAAAGTTGCACTGCAAAATGAGGCCACATTTCACAAAAGGCGCATACTCTGGGATTCTCGACATAAGGTAATTGCATTTCTATGCCACTGACTGCCATTGATGTAGCTTGCAGGCAATTTGTGCTTTAAATGCAGCTGAACACATTAGGTGATAGTAGCATTACCCAAAACCATACTGTCATTGGCTTAATTAAGATTGAGTTTTCTTGCTTTCAAAAAATCCACTACAGTTGTACCTTGGTTTTCGAACAGCTTAGTTCCCAAACGTTTTGGCCCCTAAACGTTGCAAACTTGGAAGTGACTGTTCCGGTTTGCAAACTATTTTTGGAAGCCGAACATCTGGCAGGGCTTCCAATTGGCTGCAGGAGCTTCCTGTAGCCCATCAGAAGCCACACTTTGGTTTCTGAATGTTTTGGAAGTCAAACAGACTTCTGGAACAGGTCTTGTTTGACTTCCAAGGTACGACTGTACATCCACAATCACACATGGAAACAAGAACCAAAATTGTCAACTATAACAAACAGGGAAATATGATTTTTGAGGCAGCTTTACATGGAATCCGACTTCATACACACTTGCAGGGAGGATTAGGAAAAGGAAGTTAGTTAAGTGCATTGCACATAAAACAAACTGGTAAGTAAGTAACTGTATGTTTGTGACAAAACTTTGACAATGTTAGATACACCCAAATTTAGGGACTAGTTCTCTGGCAATGCTTAAGTTCTCAAAAAAGAGAGAGATGCTGATATACCAAATAATGATCTGGAAGCCCTTCGTCATACTTGGATGTTTTGGCACTTTGTAATTGTACCTGGTAATTAGGCAAACTAACTTTTCAGGGACCCTGTCACCTACTCTCAACGTTGAATCTTGGTATTGAAACTAAGAGTAAAGTTAGCCAGCTTAAGGCATGACTGTTTTTCCCCCTTTCATTAGCTCATCACAATCTTAGAGTTACTTCAACACTGAAATTGCCATTTATTTGTTAAGTCAATCAGAAAAGAGCCTTTGGGTTATTTATTTAGAAGCAAAGTAAGTATTAAAAGTGTTAAAGGAATTGCATTTCTACGAAGAAAAAATGGCTTTGCCCAGGGTACTTACTGGCGACGTTTGCACTTGCGTTATTCTTAACTGGTTCTCCAAATCTTGAACCTTGTTTTTTAGCTCAATGTTTTCTGTTTCTAGTTCATGAATCTAAATAAAATAAAAATGCAGTTATTAGAAAGGTGAGATTAATGAACTGCGTTGGATTTATTGACTCATTCTTACTCACTTCCCGAATGAGCCCAGGAACCAAGGAACAAAATCTTTGCCATGATTAAGAAACGAGGTTTGTACAGAAGCAAGTTGTTGATACTTAGCCATTAAAAATTTCTACTCTAGGATGAATATCTCATATAGGAAGCAAATAGAATAATTGGGTCTAGCAATCAGGCGTGCTGGGTTCCACCCAACATTGTGGGTGCCCAGTGCACAGATGTGACATCATGCGCAGCACATGACGTCACACGTCACTGCCATAATGGGAAGGTCCAATCGAGTGCCCCACCACAGGGTGTGTGTGATGGAGTACCCCACCGCAGTGTGTGAAGCATTGGGTCGCCCAGCCAAGCACCCTTAGTGAAAAATTTGTGAGTGCCCAGGCACACAGGGCCCTTAGGAGATGGTGACTATGCTTGCAACAAACAAGAGATCAAGAGGTGCAAATTCTCCACTGCATGGTGCATAAGACATGACTTTTCATGGAATCAAAATGGAGCTTATATACAGTAGTATTATCAGCAACAGCTTTCAATGCGCTCAAGATTTTTCTAAGTTCTAGTTAGGAAAGGTCCATTCTAAAGTTAATTGAAAGCTTTCTTCTCTTCAAGTTGAGGTTCAACTCATTTTGGATTTGGATTTGATATCCCACCTTTCACTCCCTTTAAGGAGTCTCAAAGCGGCTAACATTCTCCTTTCCCTTCCTCCCCCACAACAAACACTCTGTGAGGTGAGTGGGGCTGAGAGACTTCAAAGAAGTGTGACTGGCCCAAGGTCACCCAGCAGCTGCATGTGGAGAGCGGAGACGCGAACCCGGTTCCCCAGATTACGAGACTATTATTGACAAATAGACTGATTTGTCCCAGTATCAGTTTCTCTACCCATGGGATTAGAGTAGCTGGGTCAAGTTGTTTTCTTTCATTTTCTTCTTCTTCTTTGCTTAATGCCAAAATACTTTAGAAAAAGAACATTAACCTGGAGCAATTTAGAAGAGGCTATTTATTGGGCCAATTTATGCGCTCCCTCTCCCCCAGACAGCATAAAACTAAGCAGTAAAGCAAGTTGATAAGAGGAAGTGCTCAGTTTAAAGGCAAGGGGCCCCAGAATAGTTGTAATAATGTTTGGGGCAAATTTTCTGGAATCTTATCAAGTCATTACTACCGTAGCTCTCAAATACCATTCTGAGGCAATAAAGCAGTGGGCATCCACGAACACAGGACATCCTATGCTGAATGGAATATTAAACAATAATCAACTGTGGCCAAATAGGCATTCATCTGACCAGTCAAGTTGGTGCTTGAACATGCCCTGACCACTGCAGAACCATTCACTTGGCTTTTAATGAAGCTATTCCTTAACTGCAATTAATCCAGAATGCAGCAGCTAGACTGGTGACTGGGAGTGGCCGCCGGGACCACATAACACCGGTTCTGAGAGATCTGCATTGGCTCCCAGTACGTTTCCGAGAACAATTCAAAGTGTTGGTGTTGACCTTTAAAGCCCTAAACGGCCTCGGTCCTGTATACCTGAAGGAGCGTCTCCACCTCCATCGTTCAGCCCGGACACTGAGGTCCAGCGCCAAGGACCTTCTGGCGGTTCCCTCATTGCGAGAAGTAAGGTTACAGGGAACCAGACAGAGGGCCTTCTCGGTAGTGGTGCCTGCCCTGTGGAACGCCCTCCCAGCAGATGTCAAGGCAATAAACAACTATTTTACTTTTAAAAGACAACTGAAGGCAGCCCTCTTTAGGGAAGTTTTTAATGTCTGATGCTGTACTGTTTTTAATATTCAGTTGGAAGCCGGCCAGAGTGGCTGGGGAAACCCAGCCAGATGGGCGGGGTATAAATAAATAAATAAATAAATAAATAAATAATAATAATAATAATAATAATTCAGAAAACTGAAGCTCATGCTGTATTTGTGTAGACCCATAGGCATACAGAATATGTAATATTTGAATGCAATATTTAGGGCTGAGCATACTGGATTTGGCTGCCAAATCAGAGCCAAATCAGGCATATTTGGAGGAGCTTGGTGTTGGATGAGTTGGGTTCTGATGACCACGTATCACTGCATGTCGGGCTGGATGGCCCATAGTAATTCACGGTTGTCAGGGAGGAAGTTGAGGCAGGAACCAGGTGGGAAACCTCTGTGAAAAAGCCCATGAACACCAGGAGAAAGTAGGAGCCTGATTCCTGGCTCTCCTTCCTGCCTGGTGCAAGGTACTTTTCAATCCGCTTCTAAGATCATTGTTATTTTAAGAAACTAATTAAACATAAGCCTGCCCCTAGCTACTTCGGGACTGGGTTTAGGTTGGGGCAGATAGGCCCCAAATTAGCCAAGGGTGTTGTTGCCTGATTTGGGACCCCTGGATTGAGATCGCAGGTTGAACAGGTGGGGCGTGCAAAGCCCTAATAAGTTCAGATGAATCCACTAAAAACAATTTAAGGGTACTTTAGTTACTAGCAATAGCTTCTCTGAGTTGGATCAGGCTAAGTCATAATCAGAGTGGACCTAATGAAATTAATGGACAAGTTTGTAAAGATTAACTTAAATCTGTTGTTTTTAATAGTTCTACCCTGAGTAGTACTTAGTCGGACACAACCCCCTAATTTCATGTGTTGTCGTAATGAATTTTTCTGTAATGTTGAATTCTCACTTTTGTCCTGCTATACGCCAGCAGTATATCTTTGAAAATCCAAACGATACATTACTTAAACCAAGAAAAGAAACCCAAATTCTGCTACTTACTCTTTTCTGTAACCCAGCAATCTGTTTTCTTGTTTCGACATCCTTTCCTCCAGATTCCAGAAATTTCCTGTAAGCCAGGTCAAATGCTTGACCAATAGTTAAAGTTATCTCTTCTGCCTTTATATGGAGCAAATATTACTGTTAGCTTGTAAACTCTAGCTGAGCAGAAACCAAACCCCTAAAGGAACATACTGGCCTAGTTCACATGTAATGCTAGGCCAAACCATGGCTTGGCTTCAATGGGAAAGTGTGTGGGTTCCTGGAGAGAAGATCATGACTGAAGCACTGCCATGTCACATAGATGTAAACCATGGTTGAACACTGCATTGCATGTGAACCCTGTGATACGTCAAGCTGTTTCAGATGTAATTGCAGAGTGCAGAAAAACCACATTTAGAGCTCTGTTGGCAAAATGCATTCAAAAGGACAAGACATTAAGGCTATTGTTCAAGACGTAGTACATGAAGGGTGGTCAGATGGAACAGAGCGTTGGCCACCACCATGGAGCTGATTTTAAGCCAGGGCCAATAACAGTGTAACTAGCCTGTCTCTGGGATAATTACAGATGGCTAGACCTGGAGCGGCTCCAAATGGCTTAAGTCCTGGTATTCACAGAACATGATTTGTGTGTGCTTTTACTGCTGCGTTTCCTGACCAGTGAACATGACTCAGAGTTTCAACGACTGCCAATGCTTTTATCCATACCAGACCTGGACCACTGAGTCACAAGGCTGGGTTGCATCCGCGATATGCAAACTTATCTGTACATGGGTGATGTGACTGTCCTACTTAAACTGTCCTTCTAGTTATAATGAAAAAGCGCATCAGGATTTGGAAGCAGAGGGAGGATGAACACAAGATCCAAGAGAAGGAAAGTATCCAAAACATTACTTTAGCCATGGTGCAGCACTTAACACTGCACAGCTCTATAAACAGTCAAAGCCCTACAGCAAGATAAAAGACAGAGCCTTTCCTTCAGTCTCAGAACAGTGAAGGCCATTTCTCCCAGGTTTTTTTGGTACTGTTTTTCAGATAGTAAAGGTAAAGGGACGTCTGACCGTTAGGTCCAGTCGTGACCGACTCTGGGGTTGTGGCGCTCATCTCAGTTTAAAGGCCGAGGGAGCTGGCGTACAGCTTCTGGGCCATGTGGCCAGTATGACTCCACTTCTGGCAAACCAGAGCAGCGCACGGAAACACTGTTTACCTTCCCGCCAGAGCGGTACCTATTTATCTACTTGCACTTTGACGTGCTTTCGAACAGCTAGGTTGGCAGGAGCTGGGGCTGAGCAACGGGAGCTCACTCCGTCGCGGGGATTCGAACCACCGACCTTCTGATCAGCAAGTCCTAGGCTCTGTGGTTTAACCCACAGCGCCACCCGCGTCCCGTTTTTCAGATGCAGAGGTACAAAACAGAAATGCTGGCTGTCAAAGGCACATGTATTCCTCTTAATACTAAAATGCAAGGCCCAACGCTGGCCCGCCACGCACTGCTTCCTGGTATTTGAATGCAGCATGCAGCAGGATGCAACCTTGATGCTTAATAGTGCTTGGTGCCTACATTTTGGGTATCCATGTTGAAGTAGAAAATACTTTGGACTAATAAATATTTGGACTAAGAAACAAGGAGGCTGTTTTTCTGGCTTTCCTTATATGGTCTGTGATTGACATAGCATAAGAAAAGGCTGCTGGATCAGGCCAAGGAATGGTACATCTTGTGGAGCATCCTGCTCTCCCGGTGACCAACCAGACGCCTATGAAAAGCCAGCATGCAGAACCAGTGCGCAACAGCACTCTCCCATCCTGCAGTTTCTAGTAACCAGAGTTCACGCTTTTTCCCTAGGGGGACGCAGGGGGACGCATACCTCTAAACATTTTGTGAATCTAAGTTTGGCCTCATTGAGGGGCAGTATTTCAATATGAGTAGGAAAATGAGAGTACCCCTAAACATTTTTTTAAAGAAAAAAAGCACTGGTTGCAACAGTCTCAAAGGAGCACAGGGATAATACCTTCATACCTTTGGCTTCAAAGATAGAAGCTTTTGCAAGTTTTCTTCTCTTTTCTGCCTTTACAGCAAGAAAGGGGACGATAACTTTCAGCGTAACAAACAAAACTCAACCCCAAACCAGCTTTAAAATAAATACTTCATACTTACACACTTTTCACTGTCAAAGACATAACACAAGTGTTTGTTTGACTCTGAATCTTTGCATATGAAAGTGAATATCCTTTTGTCAGTTTTGTCGTCAGCACAAAATGATATCCTGTGGAGCTGGCAGTTGTGCTGGACTTCCTGCAAGAAAATAAATAAAAAATGATGGTGCAATTACACATCCTGGATTGCATTTGGGGGGGTCTGATGATCGTCTAGCGAGGCCCCACAAAAGTTACCACAACAAGCTATAATTTTACATTCTAACATGAAATATGCTTCTCACAGACCAATACACTGCTTTGTTAGACAAGCCTGCAATCCGAACAGGCATCTGGGTCCAATTTTCAGCTACACAAGGCAAAGAAGCATAAACACAAGATGTTCCATTGCAGATATTGGGAGAGCTCCAGCTCCATTCTCAGGACTCTCTTGTTGGATCACACTCAATGTAGTTTCTGCACAAAACATATTTCTGCTGTACATATCATCCCGTCAGTTGACATGACTGTATATTAACTGTAGTGAGTGGACGATGCAAATGCCAGTTTTCCAGATAGAAGGACGGGATCTTGAAGTATAGAGTAAATGAGGAGTACCATGCTTTATTTCAAAATACCACTTAAGAGATATGTTAAACACACTGGGCACTTGAAACACGTACACGGAAAACAACTTCTGCAATCACTCTCAACTAATCCTGATTGCAGAATATTTTAGAAAGCCAAATTTAGATTTGTGACCCCGGATTAAAGCAGCTGAAGTGAAGTTTTCTTGCATTCTTTGAGAGCAATGTGGTATCAACACCCTTCAGCAAACTCACTCCACCTTCTGTGTCTCAGTGAATGTAGTGCAATTTGCAAGCTGTGAGCAACATTAAGGAACATCCCATTCCATAACCATAACACAGTTTCCACTTGGCTCAGAGTTGATTTTTCAAGATCATCATTATCATCACCATGCTGAATACATTGAGATTTTTTTTTAAAAAAAAATCCCTGCCAGTTACATTACGGTGAGCTTAAAGGAGCAAGCTTTATTTATTTAAGGCACGTGTTTACTATAAAAGAGTGAGAACTGAAAAACAATTGTTTGCACTGACTGCATGAATCTTTAATGCCAACGCTGTAGAGGTGATTACTGATTTTCCCCCAGCTTTCCCAAACATGGTGTCCTCTAGAAGTTTGTTTGGGAGCACAACTCACATCAAGCCCAGCCAGAATAGCCAATGACTAGGAATGATGAGAGTTCTAGAGTTCTATCCTGGAGGGCAACATTTTGGGGGAGGCTATTTTCCTATATTTCGATATGGAAAGGTGACCACCTAGTACAGAAAATTGGGTATGGCCCTGGATATAACCCTCCTTCTGGTTATGTCCTGCGTCTCTATACAAGGGAACACTGAATATTAGTTGCCTACCATTTCTGTCAGCTGCCCTCATGTGCATGAAGAGCAATGAACGCATAAATGCAGAGGAGTCTGCAGGCATTGCCACACCATGGGGATGCCCCAATACTGAAAACGCTACTGTTGCTTAAACTGCCATTAAGCAGATAACTTCCAACTTAGAAAACACACTTTTGTAAGTTTATAGAAACAGAATACTTAAATGATACTTATTTGCTTTTCAATCCAAGTCCCTAGGCAGCATTTTATTACTTCTGGCTAGTGTCAGTGGCGTAGCGTGGGGGGTGCAGGGGGGGCCGGCCGCACCGGGCGCAACATCTGGGGTTAGGGCAAATCCATGGGTTAGGGGGCGCAAATTACTTGCCTTGCCCCGGGTGCTGATAACCCACGCTACGGCTAGTGTCATGGGAAAGCAGTTCTGGATATCGAGAAAAATATGTCGCTTGTATGGGAGCTATTCTCCGCTTTAAGAATATGTGGTTCTCGTTCTTCATTAATATAAGAGTTTCTGGGATTGCCAGCATTCTCTGTACCTTCCCTTTTTTGGCCTGGTGTCGCACACTGGTTCTCATTTCTCTCTCCTGGTGCTACTCTTGGTTCTTTGCATTCCTTCTAGATTTCTCCTTCAGCCTTCCTGATAACTCAACTGTTTCCCTGCTCAGTATTGCTCCTTCTCATCCACTTTGCAGGCAAAGAAGAATTTGTCAAATAAGGTGTTTACTTCCCTTTCACTACATTCACAGTCCCCTTTTTTATATTTCTTTGGAATATAAACCACACAGATTCATAGAAGCAGAGTTGGAAGGGACCCTAAGGATCGTTTCAAGGACTCAGCAAACTTTCTCAGCAGGGGGCCAGTCCATTGTCCCTCAGACCTTGTGGGGGGCCGGACTATATTTTTTTTTTTGGGGGGGGGGGAGAATGAATTCCTATGCCCCACAAATAACCCAGAGATGCATTTTAAATAAAAGGATTCATTCTACTCATGTAAAAACACCAGGCAGGCCCCACAAATAACCCAGAGATGCATTTTAAATAAAGGGACACATTCTACTCATGTAAAAACACGCTGATTCCCAGGCAGTCCGTGGATCGGATTTAGAAGGCGATTGGGCCACATCACCAGATCCAGCCCCCAGGCATTAGTTTGCCTACCCATGGTTTAGTCCAATCCTCTGAAATGCAGGAATATGCAGCTGTCCCATATGGGGTTTGAATGTACAATCTTGGCGTTATCAGGACCGCACGCTAGCCAACTGAGCTATTGTGAAGTGAATTTCAGTTATTCCTTGGGTGACTTTTGTTTGGGAGACTGATAGGAACATGACAGGTTGTAAGAGTTTCCCCTGCCCCTTGATCCATGTATTTCATCATTACCTCCACCCACATGGTGATCCCACTGGAAGAAGCAGGGAGGCAATTTTCTCCAATTTCTCCCCCCCCCCCCCGCCAACCCCCAGAAAAGCTGCAGAGGGAACTGAAAGAAAAAAGATGGCTGGATCCAATCCATTGCTCAGGAACTTCAAATAAGCAGAATACACACACACACACACACACACACACACACACTGTGTTACTATCTTGATTATGCAATGTTTTATAGCTATTGTAAATCTATTCTTGGCAGTGGCCATGATGGGAGCTCATGTTTCATACCAGACCTTCTGCTATTTTTGATTCTTGCTTGCCAATGAGATGGATACATTTAATTTAATATATGTATTACGTCAAATAGTCAGAATGCTAGAGGGAGAAGAGGAAGAAAAGAGGGTTCCTACCTTTGTTTTGGGATCTAGAATTTTCACTCCATATATTGAAATTTGCAACTCAACCTTTGGTGTTTTTTGACCTTCAGATTTCTTGATATGTCTTGCGAACTGAAAATGGGAAACAAAGGATCATGTAAGAATATTTATAGTTTAAATTTAACACTATTAATTACGTCATAGTACGTTCCTTTTTGGAAATTTGCTACAGCTCATAAGTTCCAAAGAAAACAATATCCAATATCCAGCTCTCTGTCTGTCTCAGGTCCTCTGCTGCTCTGGTCATTGAGGTCAGTTGGTGAGACCTTTGTATGGGTGCCTCCTCCATTAGTAGCAAGGCTTCTTTCAGCAGCCAATGCAGATTTTTCAGGGCTGACTCTGCATTTATAGATTATAATTCATTGTAATACTCTCCAGGATCAGGGATGGACTTTGGTAATCTTTCATAATACAGTGCCCTGAGAAAGCCCAAAATCTGATGCCCCCAAATGGATCCAGGTGCGCAGGCTGGGAGTCATTTTGGACTCACAGCTGTCCATGGAGGCGCAGATCAATTCTGTGTCCAGGGCAGCTGTCTACCAGCTCCATCTGCTACGCAGGCTGAGAGCCTACCTGCCCACAGACTGTCTCGCCAGAGTGGTGCATGCTCTGGTTATCTCCCACTTGGACTACTGCAATGTGCTCTACATGGGGCTACCTTTGAAGGTGACCCGGAAATTACAACTAATCCAGAATGCAGCAGCTAGACTGCTGACTGGGAGCGGCCACCGAAACCACATAACACTGGTCCTGAAAGACTTACATTAACTTACATTAAATAGTTGCAGCCAGGGGAAACACAAGAGGTTGGGTTTACTGCATGGTTTAGGTGTGATACGTGATGTACTAAAACTCAATGTGATACCAACCCCGCCCCCCTTTTTTACATTATTTAGCCATTTTATCTCATGAGGCATGGGCCAAAACTGGTCTGTCCTTACATTTCACTGGGCAGCTTATATTGTTGGAAGAAGTGGCTGGTTTTCTGCAGGATCTTTGAAAGTAAGAAAGTTGATATGAAGACTGCTCCTAAACTACTGTTGTTGCTGCCCTCGATTTGTTGCAGCAGAACTGGAAAGCAAATGAAGGGGTGTCGCCCATCATCAACAAGCCCTTGCTAGTGCTCAGTAGGAAAGAAGCAACAATGCGATTGAAGACAAGATGATGAGAGGGGCAGCTTGCCAGACTCCAAAGATTGAGATCTATTTTCTCCCTTGGGCTCCATCCTTTGTATGTTTCACACATTAGTCATTCTCCTTTTCCAGAACAATGACATTCTTACCAACAGGCTGACAATCTGTGTCTGTTTTAAGATTAGGGTTCACTTGAAAAGGCTCACTATGAAACATTTTGAGTAACACCCATTTTATATATCTGTTTGATTAGAATAATGGAAAATGTTACTCGGGAACAAGAACAAAGAGTTCAAATGGAGTATTTTGGAAGCGTCCATGTAATGGACATGCTATACCAGAAGATTCTCCTGGCTTCCACGTTCCCTCTGGTAATGATGATTTATACTATTTTTTTCACATCTGTGCAAAGGAACAGAAAGCATTCCAAATTAACAGTACAGCATTCCACAGGAGAATGCTGTATAGGAAAGTTGATAATGCAACAAGAGTGTTTCTTTTCAATAATATTAACAATTCCTGGCCCAATGTAATGACTTAGTACTGATAGCAGTGGCATAAATCATAAACTGGAAGAGAACTAGAAAAGAATTAAGCCTGCCAAAAATGTCTCTTTTTTGCTGTAGAGCATCAGCACCACCTACTGGTGAAAATCAAATTATTTAGTGCCATATGTAATAGTTTCATAAATTAATAAGTTGTGGGGAAAGGGAAAGGGAATTAACACCTTGATGCCCCTACATTGTCGACTATTTTATCACTTGAATCATAAGTGGGCTTTTAAGTTGGACACATCTTCAGCAGAGTTCAAGCAATTTTAACGTTCTATGGTCAAGAGTGAGCAAGCAACATTTCCAGTGGTGCAAAGCTACACAGCCTTTTATTAGTGAATGGACATTTGAGATCATATAGTATTTCTGAGTATGTGCTCAGCTCTTTGAAGCATCAAGGCCTTTGATGAAACAAGTGCCTTGAACTTGGACCACAACCCAAATACATGGAAACATTAAAAAAAGTAAGTATTAATTAGGCCCCAAGATTTATGATTAATTTCCTCTAATAGGAGCCTAAACACTTAAAACATGTTCTCCCTCTTTTCCAATTAATTCATTTCTTTTTGAAGTTGTGACACTGCTGTGGTTTCATGAAATTTTAATTGACATTTCTTTTAACAGTAATAATAATAATGAACAGATAGGAATTCATCTTTATTTTTTACCATTAAGTATTCCCATGCAGAGCATGCTTTAAGCTGGATCACAGAAATTCTATGATGCATCTTTAAAGAAAATTAAAATGGAGGAGGTTTTAAATTTAGCATGAACCGCTGGATATCATTTCATTTCTCAGACTGCTACTCTGTCAGACTTTTAACTCTAACATTTAAGAATCAATTTCTAGTTTTTCCTCATTCTATGCTTTCTCCAACACTAATTCAGCCATCTGAGATTTTATACAAATTTTGCCCATATAAAAGATACCCCTATATCTAAAATATCCAGACATATGGAAATATTCATACTTCTTTGGGTTCAATGTATTCATTCTTGGTTATGAGATGAATTAACTGAGTTAATCTTCCAAGTAATATGATCTGTGCTCCAAGGCTGAACAACAAGGGCAAAAGGCTCACAGCTCCTGCAATAACCGTGACACTGGAGAGTTCCCAAACTGAGCCTCAGTGTCTTTTTAAACTATTGCAAATATTTTTTATTCCGGTTGTCTTTCTGCTATTGGGCATAAGTTCTTAAAACAATGGAAATTTTAGCATCAGTTTCTTATTGGAGGAACAATTCTGTTGCCTGCTCTGAACTGTTGCAGTGCATACAGATACTGATGACAGATGCTGATGATTAAAAAATGATTTATGTGCCAGATGTAGCTTTTAGTTGCAAAAAACCCCCACACTTTTTAATGGGACATTGGGATCAAATAGGCTTATCCTTTAAAAAAGAAATGGATATTTGACTATGACTCTAGTGTATATATGAAATTGAGTCAAGGATTTGTTGGTATCTGGGGTCAGCAATGGCCCTCAGTGTTCAATTCCTACGATGTCTCATAAATTCAGGATAGCATATGGAAAGAATTAATGAAATGGTTTACACTTCCTTATCCTAATCTTTGCATCAACATAAAGTTGTTAACTGAGAATTTAAACCAGATTGAGGATCATTTAGATATTATATATGGCTTAGTGGTCAACAAGTGCATAGGAAGATTAAGACTGATACTTACTAAGAAATTGGATGGCCAAACATTATCTGTGAAGGGCTGATTCAGAGCTCTGATCTTATCGTTCTTTCCCACACAGCGTTCTTCCCACTCTCACATAATGTAAAATGCAAATTAACTGTCAACAATGATTTTTTGCCTAAAGCAAAAATGGAAGTAAATGTTGTGATTTCTCCTCAGGCAAACAGCATGAGGAATTCCGAAGGAAGCAAAAAGTATCTGCAAAAAACCTAGTGAAACATATTGGGGATGACAGCTCTGGTGCAAAGCAGAAATGTGGAAATTCTTCCTTGAGCATTCAAAAGAAAAATTTTGTACAAATCATTTTTTGCATTCTTCTTTCTACCCACACTGCTTCTACAAAAAATCAGGAGGTAACTGGATTGGTGTCTGCTTACCTGATACTCAGCTAAAAAATGATTTTCCTGAGCCTTATCACCACTGTTGCCTGCTCATCCACTTCCATGCAAAGGTAAGAGTGTAGAGAGTGCTCAGCAGGGGAGGAAAGGCCATTAGCAACAAGGGCAAAGTGTGAACCCCATTTTCAGTTGGACTCAAACTTAAAAAGGGCTGCAAATGACTTCAAAACAGTGGCCACTTACCTGGGACTCTGTTAGAATTCCTGCTCCATGATTGCAGTCATGGGATTTTTGTCTATCACATGACGGTGCATATTTTGACTTCACAGAGTGGGAAGTGACGGAGACAGGATGTTTGTGTTACTGTGTTCCGTGAAGTGGGACTATTGTCCTTTGTTCATTCTCTTTGCTGTCTGATGCTACAGAGAGAGGGAGCCATGCTGCAGTGATCCGTGTGTGTTTATATGTAAATAAAGTAGATTAGCCAAAATGCTGAGTTGCTGAGGTCTGTCACGCGAACTGCGAAGACTCTGCAAATCCCTAAGTGTGACAGTGTCTGTTGGCATCGGTCGCTGTGATGTTCGGGCAGAAGAAAGTTTTTGAAGCTCCCAAACGAACGACCAGGAGGGAGAGAACATGCCAGTTGGGCATGTGTCTCTGCCAGGGTCCTACTCGAGTGTAGGATGAGCTCCTGACACACTCTGGGGGAGGGATGGTTTGTGGTCCACTGCAGTCCAGTCCCAGGGCTATTTTGATCCTGGCATGACCATTGGGGGATGTAGGAACCTCCCCCTGTGGTCACCCAGAATGGCAAAAAAGGCTAGTTTGAATGGGCCAATCAGATAAGAAGGGGCCAGCAGCGGCTTGGGCTGTGGACCTGGTTTCAGTCAGATCCACCCATTTGATTTAAAAGCAGACTGTTTAGATCATGCGGGGTGGAACCCTCTGCTTAAACTTTGCAAGCATCGCTGGTGGAAAAGCAGTGGAGACTGAGAAAGCAAGTCAACATGAACAGAAATAACACAAAAGGATTACAAGATTCACTGAGCAGCACCTGCATCTGAACAGAGCATAAAGATCCAATTCTACACGGCGTGAGTGGCACTCAAAGAAAATCTAATGAAGATGATGTATCGTTGGTACATCACACCAAGTAAACTTGCCAAAATGTATAGGTGTCAGGATAAACTATGTTGGAAATGCAGGGAGTAGGAAGGGAACTTCCTACATATGTGTTGGAATTGCACTAAAGTTAAAATCTTCTGGGACATTATTTATAATGAATTAAAAAAGGTGTTGAAATACAATTTCAGTAAAAAACCAGAAACATTTTTATTAGGGTTAATTGACGAGGAAATCCACAAAAAAGATGTAAATTTGTTCATGTACGCCACAATGGAAGCAAGAATCCTACTGGCCCAAAGATGGAAGCAGCAAGAACTCCCCACCCTGGACGACTGGCAGATAAAGATGGTAGAATTTGTGGAGTTGGCGAAGTTGACGGGGGAAATTAGGAATTGGCCAGACGATAGATTTCAAAAGGACTGGAGCAAATTTATATATTACTTGAAATATATTGTTTTCTTGAAATATATTGTTTACTTGAAATATAGTTGTTTTCTGCTGCTCCAGAGAAGCGGACACAGAGCAATGGATCCAAACTACAAGAAAGAAGATTCCATCTAAACATTAGGAAGAACTTCCTGACAGTAAGAGCTGTTCGACAGTGGAATTTGCTGCCAAGGAGTGTGGTGGAGTCTCCTTCTTTGGAGGTCTTTAAGCGGAGGCTTGACAACCATATGTCGGGAGTGCTCTGATGGTGTTTCCTGCTTGGCAGGGGGTTGGACTCGATGGCCCTTGTGGTCTATTCCAACTCTATGATTCTATGAAAGAAAACTGTAAACACCTGAAAACGTTTGTAGCCTTAACATGAAATGTTTGGTAATGAGGAAAGAAGGAGCTAATTTACAAATGAGAGGGTGATTTTTAAATGATCATATAAGGTAAAGAAGTGATTATAGAAATGTGATAAATATGTTAATGTTATAGGGAAGTCAGAAAAGAGGAAGGGAAGGAGGTCGTTGTTCTTTTGGAGTAAAAATGTAAGCTTTGGATACGTATTATGAAATGAAATGGAATATGGAAAACTCAATAAAAATCGTGATTAAAAAATAAATAAATCCAATTCCAGTAGACGGAGACTGAATGATCCCTAAGCTTATTTCTGTTTTTCACAATTACAAATTGACATTTCTGGGAATGTTAACCGTTGGCTGTTTTTCAGGACACTGTTCTTTTCTGTATGAAAGCCTGCGTGCTTTCCTGCAGTGAAATCAAGTGAAAATCACAGCACAGGTATATTGCAAGTGTGCGCCAAGTCCTTTAGTTACAAGCACATTGTGAGGAGCAAACATCAATGCCACCATGTCTCTGTAAGTCTTTGCAAAAAGTCCCAGCAGCAATGAATCAGGTCAGGCTGGAAGACACCCTTCTATTCTTAGTATGCAGAGAGACAGCAAAAACCGGGGAGGAATCAGAAAAAGGAAAGCTGAGAGAAACAGGATAATGGAGAGGAGAGGAATGGCTAGGATGCATTCCAGCCAGCCTGCAGAGTGAGACGTTTGGGGAAACAGAGATAAGAGGGTGGAGCCCTCTGAAGCTGTGTCCAATGAGAGGACAATATAGATTTGGAGGAAGGAGACCCCACACTTGGAGCAGAGAAGGAAAACAAGAAGAAACATGGGATACTGGAGTGAAGGTCTGGAACAAAAGGACTAGTGATGAACCTTTAACAGGAGATTAGTGTAATGTATGGAAGGGGGCCACGACTTCAGTTATGAAAAAGGGAAATATGAATGGTTGTATCAAGGCTCCACACAATATATAGTGGTACCTTGGAAGCCGAACGGAATCTGTTCCGGAAGCCCGTTTGACTTCCAAAACATTTGGAAACCAAGGAAGCTCCTGCAGCCAATCAGAAGCCACAGAACTCGCGTCAGACGTTTGAGTTCCAAAGAACGTTCGCAAACCAGGTTTGCAGTGTTTGGGAGCCAAAATGTTTGACTTGCAAGGCATTCGGGATCCAAGGTACAACTGTACACTGAAGGAAGAGTATATTGGTGTTCTGAGATTTTCTAGCAGGGGGTGGATAAACACAGAGGGAATGCAACACATATGTTTAGAACAGATCAGGCATTGCTTCTAACTGTATCTAGTAAATTTAAAAAGAGTTTCCTACCTTAAGTTTTCTAACAGCATCTCTCACGACTTCTGTGCCTTTAGGTTGCTCCACTTCTGTGCTGCCAAGAAACTGAAAACATTGTAATTTGTGAGAAAAGTAGTGGATGCTTGTTACCTTTTTTTTTAAAAAAAGCCTTTGAAATAACTGTATTGATTTTGTTTTAATTGTATTGATTTTATATTGATTTTGTATTAATTTTGTATTAATTTGTTGACAATTTGTTAAAAATTATGGAAAATCAATAAAAATAATTGGCCAAAAAAGAAAGAAAGAGAAAGAGCTCCTGGTGCAACGGGACACTGTGATGGAAACCAGAGCGCATGAAAACACCGTTTACCTTCCCACCACAGTGGTGCCTATTTATCTACTTGCACCGGCGTGCTTTCGAACTGCTAGATTGGCAGGAGCTGGGACAGAGCAACAGGAGCTCACCCCGTTGTGGGGATTCAAACCACCGACCTTCCAATCAGCAAGCCCAAGAGGCTCAGTGGTTTAGACCACAGAGCCACCCCGCTTTTACACCAGACGAATTTGTCTTATACCAGACGAATGAGGGAAGGATGAACATGCACAGCTGCCTTAATCCATAGTTCATGGGTGGGTAGCCTGAGGCTGTGGTGCACAAAATGTACAATAGCGCGGTGAGAGTGGCACTTTAATTCCTTCGGTTTGTCGAGAAGATTGGCCATGGCCACCACAGATCCTTCTTTTGGCAGAACAGGAGGAGGAAGGAGTAAGAAGCACTTGGATTGCATAGCTGTCAGCTTTTCCCTTTTCTTGTGAGGAATCCTATTCGGAATAAGGGAAATTCCCTTTAAAAAAGGGAAACGTTGACAGCTATGGGATTGTTCTCTACCACAAATGTGTGGGTGAGAATTATGGGAAGCAGTTCTATAATTTATTTATTTTTATTTTATCTATTTGTTTTACATATTTATATATTATTAAATTTGTATGTCTATTAAATTTATTAAATTCATCAGAAGATCTATGGGCAGTTCACAGAATAAAATACGAGATAAAACACAAGTAAATAATTAAACCAAGAGAACAAAACCATAACCCCTATTTTATGTAAGTATAGTAACAGACTGCTTCTGCTTTTGCATGTACAGTGGTACCTCGGGTTAAGTACTTAATTCGTTCCGGAGGTCTGTTCTTAACCTGAAACTGTTCTTAACATGAAGCACCACTTTAGCTAATGGGGCCTCCTGCTGCCGTTGCGTCGCCGGAGCACAATTTCTGTTCTCATCCTGAAGCAAAGTTCTTAACCTGAAGCACTATATCTGTGTTAGCGGAGTCTGTAACCTGAAGCGTATGTAACCCGAGGTACCACTGTACAGGAATGGAGCCACATCTGCATCAATACTTTATTGCAGTGCCTTCTACCCCTCTCCCAACTTACTGCAGGCGCAGAAGAACTAATGACTTCGCAGAATGCTACATCCACAAATTAATCACCATTTATTTCACCCATGTGCTAGTGAGCAATACTGAACACGTGGCAGGTTTATGGTTTACTCTTCCAACTGGTTTCCACTGTTGAACCACTTCATGAAACACAATAGCTGATCTCACAATAGTTTCACACACGAGTGATAAAGTTGCAGCTACAGTGAACACAACCCCCTTTCAACACCAATAATATCAATGCAGAAGGGCCAGTGCTATCTAACTGTTTCTCTAAACAATTTGGAATACCATTTTTGAAGGCTCAAGCAAGTCCTCTGCTCACATATTAACACTTACATTTCCCCCTTGAATCCCAAATATATAATATGCAAGCAAGGAATGGATGAAGGCATGGATCTCGGCTCCTGCAAACTGAAGGCGGAGTGGGGGATCTATTTCCTTCTTCCCCTTGCAATTCCTATTGGCCCAAATGTCTGTTCCAGGATTATCCTTGCTTCTATTTATGGAGGTCTCCAGTAGATTGAAACCTCTTCCCTGAAAAGCATGGGAAAGCACCATCGGCTCAAACTGGTGATGGTCTATCATATTTACACAACTAACACTGAGTTATCAATAATCTTAACTGCTCTTTTCACTTCGGTCCTTAAGCCTATTCTGAGAAACAAGAACCGCATTTCTGTGCTCAGTTAACACAGAAGCTTCATGCAAGCAAATGTATAATGTGGTGGTTAATGTAGCTATAATAGACTAAGACCACTGCAGACTTTTTTAAAAAAGGTGTTTCCTCTCTACAGCATCCCAGGGTTTCCCGAAGAAATGCACAACTTTTACTCTGAAGCATGAGCCATGTGTTTTTACACTGAGCGTTGGTTTAAGTAGTACAGATATGAAAACCAGCATCTCCATCAGTTTCCTTAGTAAAAATACTTTCAGCAAGTAACCTGGGCACTGACACAAGGTTTTCATTTATTTCTAAAGAATCTACATTCCCCAGAAAATAATTGAACATATAACATATTTATTTTAAATACTACCAAAACCTTTCCACCCAGTCGCTGGGTGAAAACTTTGAATTATAAAGAAAATTCAAGGGATGAATATATCCTGAAGAAATAAAATAAGAAAGGTGGCATTCATTCATTTAATCAGAAACAGTGTGCCACAGGCTATTTTAATATTTGTAGAAGCTGAACGGACTAGTCACAATTATTTTTGTGAAGCATCAGATCTCATGGACAAATTTCACCTTTTAACACAGAATAGCACACAAAACTCCACTGCTGTGAATTTTACAAGCTTGTGCACACACACACAAATGTGTGGGATCACAGATAAAGTGAGCGTTTAGTAAACAAAAATAAAAGGTATTGCATGTGTCATATATAATCTCAAACATAATTTCTATTGTAGTAAGGCCAATTGGCTATTTTTAAAAATGTTGTTGGTATATTACAGATTCAGATTCACAGCAACTTTATTTAGCCCTTTCCTCATAATTTCAAAAACAAGTTCTCTGCCCCCCCTTCCAAATGCATTAAAAACGCATCAGTTTGGTATATTAATAGCTCCATTAGATTCCTCCCGCCCCCACCCCCCAAATCCCACACTCTAGTCTAGAGAGAAGTCTATTGGTAATTTTTTGCCAACAGGGAATTGGACTAACTTCATCAACTATACTTAATGCGAAAATAAGTGCACCAGTTATTTAGCTTTATCAGAGTTGTGTGTTCTGTTTCTTCCCTGTGTGCCTTTAATTATTTGTCTTCTTTCCTCATTCTATCTTCATGTTTGCTTCACCCGCTTCCTGGAATGCAGGGATAATGTTCCAGGCTATTTCTGAAATTATGTATACGAGCACTTGGGAACTACTGCCATTCCAGTAGTGATCAAGACCCAATATTGGGAGATAACTGCTCTGAACTTTAAAGAGGAACTGTGAAATGGACAGTATGTGTTAATCAATTTTAAGAAACCAGAGATGATGGGGTGTTTTTTTGGTAGAATTGAAACTTCTTCAGGTGTTCATCTTATGTAGACAAAAATGAGGAGGGGTGAGGAAACTTTTTGGCCTGGTGGGCCTGACCGTTATCTCCTCCCACCCCTGTCGGCAAACCCTGACAGCTGGGCAGGACAATAATCTGATATCAAATTGACTGACACCTGTTGACTGACCCGCAGAGATGGGAAGAGATTGTGTGACCAAGTGGGATTGTACTCCCCACCCACCAGCTACTGGGTACAGAGTTCAATCCTGCTTTCTGTGGTAAGCCAGTGTGGTGTAGTGGTTAAGAGTGGTAAATTCATAATCTGGTGAACTGGGTTCGCATCTCCGCTCCTCCACATGCAGCTGCTGGGTGACCTTGGGCTAGTCACACTTCTCTGAAGTCTCTCAGCCCCACTCACCTCACAGAGTGTTTGTTGTGGGGGAGGAAGGGAAAGGAGAATGTTAGCCGCTTTGAGACTCCTTCGGGTAGTGATAAAGCGGGATATCAAATCCAAACTCTCTGCAGGGATCAGCTGTGTGGGCAGCCAATCCAGACACATCGCTACCTGTTCCACCCTTAACATCACATATTATATCACGTGTGGGGCAAGTAGGCATGGTTCATGTGAAATGGCCTGGTGAACCAAATTTGGCTGTGGGGTGCAGGTTCCCCGCTGCTGGTGTAGAGGAACGAGTGTATCTGCATCAGCCCACATGCCCAACTGGACGTGTCCAGCAATGTTAGGGGTGAAGCTGACAGGTATGCTCCCATCTCTGCACACACTAGCATATCCAGGATGAATGCAAGAATTGAGGATGGCAGTACCTCAATTCCACATGCCTCTTTCCATATGAACAACCTACCCAGACCCTGGGATCATCTTCTGAGGCCCTCCTTCGTGGCCTCCTCCTTGAGAGGTCCAGAGGGTGACAACACAAGAACAGGCCTTCTCTGTAGTGGCTCCCCATCTGTGGAATGCTCTCCCCAGGGAAGTTCGCCTGGCACCTTCATTATACACCTTTAGGCGCTAGGCAGAAATGTCCCTTTTTAACCAGACCTTTGGTTGATTTGATTGACATCCTATACCCTTTTAAAATGTGGGGGTTTTTTTGGGGGGTGTTATTGGGTTGTTGTTTTTATTTTGATTATATCTTTTGTCGTTTTTATTTTATTCTGTGAACCACCCTGAGACCTCCGCGTATAAGGGGGTAAATAAATAAATAAAAGTTCCTAGCGCTCTGGCAGTTCTCATTTAAGAAACAGTGGTACTTCGGTTGTTGAACGTAATCCGTTCCGGAAGACCGTTCCACTCCCGAAACGTTTGACAACCGAGGCGCAAAGGGCGGTCGGTGAAGTCAACGGAGAAAAAAGAGGGGGGAAATGCAGTGGAAGCTGTCCCGAGTTTGGAGGCACGTTCGAAAAGGGAAGCAATTACTTCCAGGTTTTCAGCGTTTGGGTTCCGAAACATTCAGCTTCTGAGCTGCTCAAAAACCAAGGTACCACTGTATCTGCAGAGGGACCCAGGTGGCTGAGCCTATGTACTGCTCTGCTATTTCAATGAGCTGTAAAATCACAGCACATATGTGTCGCACTCCATCGTGCTATTTTTGACCTTTTCCCCCCTCGGCTTTCTTGAAACTGGGATACACAATTGACAAATTGCATTACTCG